GGCTTGCCACCTCAGGTAGTTTCTGGCCTCGAGGGGCCCAAGTTATTCAAATAACCTCTAGCTTCGGGATCCTAAAATTGCCCAAGATCAAGCTCAGGTTCACCATCTTGGGTAGTTTCTAGCCTTGAGGGGCCAAGGTTATTCAAATAACCTCCCCTTAGGACCTTGAAACTGGACAAGGTTGAGCTTAGGCTCACCACCTTGGGTAGTTTCTAGCCTTGAGCGGCTGAGGTTATTTAAATAACCTTTGGCCTTTGGGACCCCGAAACTGCCCAAGATTGAGCTTAGGCTTGCCACCTCAGGCAGTTTTTGACCTCGGATGAGCTTGTTAGTGCCATTGACATCATATCGAATCTTGTGGTTGAGTAGATTTCCAATACGTTCCTAGGGATTGATTTGAAACTCCATCAACAATGCAAGTCTTACTTGAGCTCTATTACCTATTAGATAGTATTGTGATTGATTGCACAATAAATAATAGTTCTATGGTGGAGGTAGCATATGATTTTGGTAGATTAGTGTTTGCTATTGAAGAACATTATTTATTCAAACACTGGTTTAGAGTTACCTCTAATCTCAAGGAGGTAAATTATATTTATTAAGATTTCAATACATGTTTAGTTTGTTTTATATATCATAGTCATCTTGAGTTTTTAGAGTTGGAGGTTTTACAGATAGAAGAAAATTAAATGAATCTTTACTTGAGAAGAAAATCCTGTCATATATCAAAATGTCAATAATAGTATGAAGTTTAGTTGTCAGGCATGCTCGGAGCTATTGACTAGACGTGTTGGTGAGCTTATTACGGTTGAGTTGGATTCGAGTGGTCATTTAGTTTGTGCTTAATATCATTGTAGCACATGTGATCATGGGATGAGATTTGGATATACTGTCATCATGGATCCTTGGAACCTTGAGGGATAAATGGGGATAAAATAGCCACTAAGGGCTCTCTCATCAAGCAATTGCCCCTTTTCTAGTTGGCTTAATGGGAGAGAGATAAGGTGCGCTACAATCATATTCCATAATTGCAAATTGGTATTCTCACATGCAACCATCAGTTTGTAATGGTTGTGTGTTGTCATCTCATCTTTCAATATTTTATCAACAATTATATATAAAGTGATAATACCATTTATGTAGCAGTTGCAACAGTTCTCAAAAAAACTATAAAAGCCCATAAAAATGTCTTCACCTAAGAAAAAAAAGTATATTAGGCATCTTAGAATCAAACTCTCAATTTGTTCACTAATTCCCATTAAATCAAGAGTCAGCTCTTCTATGGATTGGGTATAGTAGACTCCAACTTGAAGAAACTCCCCATCATTGACTTTGTCATCCACATCTAAAAAATGATATACTAGGTAGCAAGAGAGCTTACGTGTTTGCTTCTTTCAAGCCATTCCTAAATTGAACTCTTTACTTTTGATACCTTGTGTGTGTGTGTGTGTGAAGATAACCTAAAAAACCTATATTCTACACTAGCCAATCTATTGTTTCCCAAGGGGATATTGTTCTTCATCATGGAGCAATAGTGGGTTTGTGTCCATAACTTATTCTTGAATTTATTGTATATCTACTCTTTCTAAACCCATTGTTAAGCAATTGCTATAATGCTCAAGAAAAGCTTGTAAATCCATTAAGACATTTGTTTTGTCCAAAGAAAAGTAGCATATTAGACATTGAATATAATAACATTTTGTGCCTTTAAGCAGTCTTGCTATACCAAGAGCAAGATCTTGCAAAAACATGTGGCACTACTCTTGAAATGTTTGAGGTAATCCCTCTTTAGTAACAATATTCAAAATTTTGTATATAGAGAGTTCTAGTTCGACCCCCAATAGAAAGAAAATTGTAATGTGGTGTATAGTGAAGGTGAAATAGAATGTTGATAAACCTTAAGGATGGAGGTGGAGATTGATATAAGATGTTAGGGACCCAAGTACAAGTAGCAATGACTTTTCTTTGAGCCATTTCTATATTAAACTTTTTAACTTTCCAAAGAGCATAAGGATAACAAAAATATTATAATAACTAACTTTTTTTGGCATTTATATATTAATTTTTAGTATTGGGAATGAGGTTTATTTACTATGACACTAATAATACTCTTGAAATTCTTGAAATGTCAATCTCAAAAATGAAATTTCATAATCATTGTCTACTTATGAATAAAAAAGCTTTTAGAATTCTAGATACACGTGCTAGAATGTTTATCATTCTAAACCATCTATATATATTCTTTTCTACACTTGTGCCAACTTTCAAGAAAAATACACAACAGGGAAATATAAACTATATTATAGTAGTAGAGTATGTAAGCACATAGGCCCATATACATTCTCTTATGTGAGATTACTTTCAATTTTGGAAATGTAGATAAACTTGATTCTTTAATGTGATGTCATTTTTGAGTCTTTTAAAAGCTTTTGATTTTCATTATTATTATTCACTTTTGAAAAATATTAGTGGGGATTCATCCCAAAAATATATCTTGGTCTTCTCATATAGGAGGATTGCACTATAAGCAGGCAGCTAGAGTTTTTTTATATAAATTAATATATAAATTACAAATGCTATACAAAGCTCTATAGAATAGATTTATTAATTTTTTTTCACTATATTCATTCTTTCATTTCTTTTGTTCTAGACTGTTGTTTTGGAAGTAACATGAGCATTTTTATCAAAATTGATAAAGATTTTTACATTCTCAGATGGGTAATAAGGATTAAGAGTGTAATTTGAAGATTGTGCGAAATTAATATTCTCACATTAATTTGCCCTATACTTAAGAACCCTAGAATGAATGAACAGTATGTAAATATATATTGCCTTGACCAATATACACTATTAATGGCTACCCTTCAAAAAGATTTATCTTGATTCATATTTAGGATTTTTTAACGAATTGTAAGAAAATCAAAATATAATAGTTGTAAAGATAATCTTTAGTAAAAGAATAAATAAATTCTCATGAACTTTATCTTTTCTAAATAACTCAATCTAGTAAAAACTTTTGACCTAGGTATTTATATATTCTAATATTTTAAAGTTTATCAGAACTTTAATTTTTGGTTTGCTTAAGCAAACCTATAGGGGGATTGGATGGTAGTGAATATACCTAGAATATGCTTGGATATTCTAGGATATTCTACCATCTAACAGTTGGTATTTATTTAGATTAATCTGGTATTTATAATTTATAAACATGTTTATAATTTATAAACTTTCCTAAACACTTTCTAGTATATTCTTTTTTATTCTATCATCTAATGGTTGATATGCAATAAGATTAATCTTGTGTTTATAAATTACAAACATGCTTATAATTATAAACTTTATTTGAACAATTAGATTAATAAATAATAATAAAACTACCATTAAGCAAACCAACCGTTGCTACATGCAACACGTAGCAATTTATTATTTTAACATATAATTAAACTCAACTCAACTTTGGACCATCCCCACAACTACTATACCATCACCTCCCATATGACTCAAGCCACTTTTCTTTCTTTGCAAAAACATACCTCTCCAAGCATCCCCAATTCTTGCAGAACTGTTTCATCAGGGATGTCTTCAGTAGTTTGGTGACGAGATTGGGCACTGCAGCAGTATTTGAAAGAGGCAACTTCGAAAGATGGCAGCCAGATGTTCCCTGGTGGCAGAAACTGTTGCAGGCCTGCATTGGGAAACCACGCCCCTGCAGCTGGCACCGAGTTTGTGCTAGAGGATGGGTTCAGCATGTCGCTATGCCAATTATTGGCAACCCCCAGATCACGGACGATGTGCTTGCTGGCAAGGTTCCGCTGGATGGCCGATGCCTCATGGAGATCCCTACCATCCACAACATGGCTAAGTTTGTCCCAGGAAGACGAGCTTGCCAGCAAGGAACTGGTCCGGGAGCTAAGAGTCCTTAGCCAGAACAGAGATGGTCTCAGCAGCCCACTCCCGTGTCAGCTCCTCCCCATCGTTGTCGTTGGGTGCAAAAATAGGCCGCCCTCGGAGCTTCTCGAAATCATCCTGCATTGCGGCAGGGAAGTCCTGATCTTCGTACACCCTCACTACATGCATCAAGGGCAAACTTGTGTTAGCCTGCGTGCAATTCAAATCTGTCTTGTTCTTAAACCTCTGGTAGAATCTTGCACCTGCAGGCTCGAGCAATCAGTGGGTGAAGGGCTGGCCATTCAAAGGGACGTCCCCAGCAATAATTCTGTCCATCTCCAGGCTCCGCAAGAGGTAACGCATGCGCACCAGAAGTCACCCATCGACCAGAGCATGTTTTCCATCCACCAGTTACGCTCCAGGCCAAAGGAAGGCTTGCCCCGGCAGCCAAGCAGTGCCTCGAGCTGCTGCTTGTCCATATCGTGGTACAGAGACGCAAAGTGCTCGTCTCTGAAGAGCATGCCCTCTACGAACTCGAGCTCATGAAATCTACGTACTAAGATGATCACTTTGGGTTGGAGGCCCTGCGCGCTCGAGTGAAGATTTGAGTGAAATTCCCGGAAACCCGTCGCCGACCAGGTGCTCCTTCATACTTTGTAGATGTCGAAGGCCCTGTCAAGGGCCCTGCACTACCAGCAGCAACGGGATATATCTGACCCCATACTTAACATATAGCTGGGCCCGCGCTCATCAGGATAATCTGCGACCTGGCTCGTTATCGAAGCTGATCTAGAGGCACTACCTTCCGTCGCTGGCGCCACGGATGTAAAGGTCTTGTGCTCCGGGCTCTCCAGTGTCGCTGGTGAACAAAAGAGAAGAAAAGGTAAAACAAGACGAAAGGAAAAGGCCTCACCCTTCCCGCGCAAAACGGCGCTCAAAGGCTGGAAATTGAAACCAACCCGTCCGGCAGTGATGTCGTTGACGGTGCATGAGCTCTGTAATGCAATGCCGCCGCCAGTCCCCCGGACGATAACGCTGGGCATCATCTGGCACAAATATAGGTTGGGCCAGGCAGCATTCCCGCAGCCTCTCTGCGAGAGACCAGGCTGCTCCATAAAATCCGACGCTGCACAGGGAGAGTGAGTGCTAGAGCAGCATCCAGAGGCGAAGTGGTGATAGAGGATGTCTTCTTGGCACGTCCTGCGATGGATCAATCTTCAGTATAGAGATGGCAATCATGTCGTGCACAAGCTTCGGGAAGGCGAGGAAGCGAGGAGGTGCTGTTGCTGGCTGGGGAACACTAGCTGACGTCCCTTTGTGGCTGTCGGGGGTTGGGGACGCCTTTGGTGGGCCGGAACGTATCCCTCAGCGGAGGAGGAAGAGGCACATTCCACAAACTCTGGCATTCCATGGCGCCGCCAGGGTGCATCTCCACTGGCGGCCGCGGGCAAACCCTGGGGGCGGAGCAGCGTTCCGCGGCAGCGCGTACCTGGCAGCGCCTCCGCCAGGATGCATCTCCGCTGGATCGTGCTTGGCGGCGGAGCTGCATTCTCCCCCGCGTACCGTTTTCCCGCCTGAAAACCCAAACCCTGTCGGCAGTCCTAAAGTCAATTAGCCCTGGTGGCTGCAAACTGATGATGAATCCATCGGCAGTCACTCACCCACAGACGAGGGCGCGATTGCCGATCCCCACACAAACGTCTTGAAGAACGTAACCTGGGATCCACCACCTTGTCCTGCACGATCGATAGGGAATCCTTTCCCCTTGCCCTAATTAGGGCTCGAAGGGGGTTGAAGGTGCCACGCTGGACATACCTTTTGGACCCGCATTATTCGCCCAGGGCTCAACTCTCGTTAGAAAAAGCAAAGCCCTAAAGCATTAAGTGACTGAGAGAGAGAGAGAGAGAGAGAGAGAGAGAGAGAGGTGATCGATTCATCCATCCAGCCATGGCTGCTGCCGCTGCTGGAGAGATGGAGGAGGTGAAGCGCTTCCTGGATGAGTGCCGGGAATCCGGCGACAAGACCTACGGCGTCTTCAAGGGCGTGCTGGATGAGCTCCAGAATGAGACCACGCGATCCAGGGCGCGCAAGCTGCTGGCATCCGTGGAGCGCTACGTTGACGCCGAGCTTTCCACTGTGGATTGCTTCGCGACATTCCATTTCCGGATCCATCAGCTCGTTCTCTCGGATTCTCAAGGTATAGCGGCCCGGATTGCATCAATTGCTCTCTGTTTGATCAATCGCCCCCAGGTCTTCGCAAGAACCGTCAAAAGCTCACGCTTCTTGAGCTGCCGAGCATCTTCATTCCCGAGGACTGGTCGTTTACTTTCTACGAAGGGATCAATCGCCTCCCGGACAGTGGATTCCATGACCGCGATGTGGCAGAGCTGGGCTGCGGCAATGGCTGGGTGTCCATTGCCATCGCCGAGAAATTGCTACCGAGAAAGGTAGCTCATCATATTTCCTATGTGGACTCCACGCGAGCTTAATTATTCTTTGCCTTTGTCGTTCTTAGGTGTATGGCTTGGACATCAATCCTCGAGCGATCAAAGTTGCCTGGATCAACCTCTACTTAAACGCGCTTAGCGGCGAGGACGGATCACTGGTGATCGACCGCGAGGGGAAATCGCTACTGGATCGTGTCGAGTTTTACGTTTCGGATTTGCTGGGTTATTGCCGGGACCGAAATATCATGCTGGACCGCGTTGTCGGCTGCATACCTCAGGTAAGGTTTCGCTTGTTTTGGTGTTTCCCTGCCTTCACTTTCTTTCGCCTGCATTGCAGGTGCTCAATCCCGATCCGGAAGCCATGCTTAAGCTTGTCTCGGAGAATGCTAGCGAGGACTTTTTATATTCCCTCAGCAACTATTGCGGGCTTCAAGTAAGCGCTAGTTTTTTGTTTTCTTTCCTTCTATGCCTATTATATGGTTTACAGCGAGCGAGATGCGTAGCGTCTGGTACTGAAAGCTTCAACGCATGAATGCAGGGCTTTGTGGAAGATCAGTTTGGCCTGGGACTCATTGCGAGAGCTGCAGAAGAAGGCATTAGCGTGATAAAGCCCAATGGTGCTATGATTTTCAACATCGGTGGCCGACCGGGACAGGCTGTCTGCGAGCGCCTGTTCGAGAGGAGAGGCTTTAAAATCGCCAAGCTGTGGCAAACGAGAGTCAAACAGGCAAGCAGCCGATATTCCCGCCTTTCTGATTCACTGACTTTATTACCTTAGGCAGCCGATACAGACATTTTAGCGCTAGTTGAGATAGAGAAGAACAGCCGCCATCGCTTTGAATTTTTTATGGGGCTGTTGAGCGAAGAGCCGATCTGTGCGCGCACAGCATGGGCGTACTCCAGAGCTGGAGGCGAAATCTCTCATGGATTATCTGTATACAAGTGTGAACTACGCCATCCCAACGAGGTTAAGTTCTCGTGATAAATAGGCTTTCCTGTGACTAACAAGGTTTCCTTCGCAGATAAAGACCATATTCAAGTTTTTGAATAACAAGATTCAGGAATTACGAGGTGCATTAGACTTATCATTCTCAGAAGAATCAGTGGCGGAAGAGAAAATTCCTTTCCTTGCATACCTCGCAAATGCACTGGAGGGGCTTTCCTATATCCCCTGCGAACTCCCAGTTGGAAGCACCAATTTTCGCAGCTTAATTGCCGGTTTCTTTCGAATATATCATGGAATACCTCTCACCCCCGCTGTAAGTTGATAGATTGAACTGTTGGGAACGCTACTGATAGTTTCTGTATTTCCTCGTTCGCAGAATGTAGTTGTGCAGCCGTCAAGGTCTGTTCTCATCGAAAACATTCTCCGTCTTTATCAACCAAAGCTTGCTCTAATTGACGCGATGTTCACGAGATGGTTACCAAAGAAATGGCTGACGGTGTTACCCCACCAAAGTGATCAAGTCAGCTCGTCTGAGATCGCCGTGGTGGAGGCTCCTCATCGCACAGATCTGGTCATTCAGCTACTCAGGCACTTGAAGCCTCAGATTGTCATCACCAGCCTCGCGGACTTTGAAATGAGAACCTCCACTGCGTTTGAACAGTTGCTGCACGAGTGTGCCGAGGTCGGTGCGCGGCTTTTCCTGGACATATCGGATTACGTGGAGTTGTCTAGTGCACCCGGCACTAATGGTGTCCTGCAATACATGGCCGCTCACGCGCTTCCGTCGCACGCTACCATCATGAGTGGCTTGGTGAAAAATAAGGTACAGGCTTTTCTTTCTTCTTTGTCCTTGGAGGATGCTAAATCAGTCACCACCACTTGTCCATTCCAGGTCTACGCTGACTTGGAAGTTGCCTTTCTTATATCCGAGAATAAAGATGTTCTCCATGCGCTGGCTTTGTCTGGGGAGCTTGTGGACGGCCGGACTGCCGTAATGAACCAGTTCTACTATGGTTGTCTCCTACACGAGTTACTTAGTTTTCATCTGCCAGAGCGTCACACGTCTTCAGAGGTTTGAGAGTTTCCTTTCTTACTGCTGGATAAAACTTATATGTTACATGTTTTCCAGAGATTAATCCGCCAAGAGGAAAGCTCCAAGTTCATCCGTTTTGCAGACTGCACTAGGAAAGCTATTGTCGAGGCTGAAGTATGTAGCTCGGGGTCATTGGTGGCGAATGCCATTCACCTGGATATTGATGAGAACGCTCTTCCCACGCCCCTGGCGGTGAAGGCGGTAATCTTCGAGGCGTTCTGCCGACAAAACGTGAGCGAAGCAGAAACCGATCCCAAGCCGGAAATTCTGGATTTTATAAAAGCCAAGTGCCTGCTCGGACCAGACTATTGTGGGGAACTAGTGCTTGGGGACAGCTGTTTATCCTTGTTCTCGAATCTGGTACTGGGCTGCGTCGAAGACAAAGGCACCCTGTGCTTTCCTGCGGGCTGCAACGGGACGTATCTGTCGACTGCCAAGTTTTACGATGCAGACCTGAGAAGAATTCAAACGAAGAAAGGCGACGGCTTCAAGCTTACGGCCCATGCAGTGGAAGAGACGATCAGGGATCTTACAAGGCCGTGGCTCTACATCTCGGGTCCGACAGTGAGCCCCACAGGCGTCCTCTATTCCAGCGGGGAGATAATCTCAATCCTCTCGGTGTGCGAGAAAGCTGGCGCAAGGGTTATCATAGACACTTCGTTTTCCGGGCTCGAGTACGATAGCAGCCGGGTGGACTGGGACTTGAAGAGTTTCGTGGGCAGAGCAAGCGGCAGCAACAAGTCGTTTGCAGTTGCACTTCTAGGGGGATTCTCTACGGAACTGCTATCAGGCGGGCATGAATACGGCTTTGTGACTTTTACCAGCTCCATCTTTTCCGAGGCGTTTAAAGACGCTCCCTTGAGGAAAACACCACACATGACGTCCAACTACATGATCAAGAAACTTCTGGCGATGGCGAACAGCAAATCGTCCTCGAGGGACTTGCAAGACGGAGTTCGTAGTCAGCAGCTCATCCTCAAGCAGAGGGCTGAGAAGATGAAAGAGGTAAAAGGTCTTTATCGCCTTGACTCTTACGTAGTTGAAGCTTTTTCTGTTTTCAGGCGCTGGTTGCGTGTGGATGGGAGGTTTTGGAGCCTCAAGGAGGGATCTCCCTAGTTGCTCGTCCATCGGCTTACGAGGGCAGGACGTTTTCGTACAAAAGTATCGGCGGGGAAACGACGAAAGAGATTAAGCTGGACAGCGTGAACATACGCGAAGCAATGCTGTGCAGCACCGGCGTTTGCGTGAGCAGCAGCCAGTGGACGGGGTTGGAGCACTATTGTCGCTTCGTCATCGCTGTTAGCGACGACAAATTCGATACGGCGTTGAAAGCGCTGCGGAGGTTCAAGGACTTGGTGCTGGGCTGACGATCCATCGCTATCTTCTCCTCCTGGAAACAGAAACAAGGCCAGTTAGTCAGCTCTTATCTCCCACGTCTTTGCCATCTTGCTTTTCTTGCTTTTCGCGCTTGCTAAACGTGCACCACTTGTGCTATTGCTACAGAGGACGGAAATCATCCATCCATCCATCCATCCATCCCTCGACAGAGACAAACAGCGGCGGACGGAATGGTCGGTCAACCAAGAGTTATTTTTTGGACGAAAGGAAGAAAAAGAATGGGTTGGTTGTTGACGTTTGATTACCTACCTAACAGGGGATCCACGAGCTCCCAGTTGGGGAGCGAACGTGGCTTGGCTAGCTGGCTGGGCGGGCGGGATACCGCGGGAGAGGGCAAATGGATATGCTGCGGCATACCGCGGCATACCGCGGCTTACCGCGACGGCAATGCGAGTGCGGCGGTTGCTACGACCCAGGGGTGTGCGATGATGTCGGCGGGCTTGGGCCGCTTGTATGGATTCTTGTCCATCATCTTTTGGATGAGATCCTTGGCGCCGCCGGGGATGCCGTCCCAGTCGAGGCAGGCGTCGGCGGTGACGGCGCAGGCCTTGAGGTCGGAGAGGAGCCCCAGGGTGGAGTAGTCGGAGAAGACCTTGGACGCCCCCGCCAGCATCTGGTAGAGCGTCACGCCCAGGCTCCACACATCGGCAGGCAGCCAGTAGCTCCCGCACATCACCTCCGGGGCAACGTAGCGCGGCGTGCCAACTTTGTCCTTGAGTTGCTTGCGCGCCGCCGCCGCCGACGAGACGCAGTTGTATTCGGCGATGCCGAAGTCGGCGTACTTGACGACCAGGGAGGCCGCGGCGGCGCAGCTCGTCGTACTGCCGCCGCCGCTGCTGTTCTTGGCACTCACCAGCAAGATGTTGTCGGGCTTGACATCGCGGTGCATGATCCCCGCCGAGTGGAGGTCGTCCAGGGTGGCGGCGAGGTGGCGCACCAGTAGCGCCGCCTCCGCCTCGGGGATCTTGCCTCGCTGCTGGATCCAGTCGGCGAGGCTGCAGTCGCACAGCTCCATGATCAGGTGCCAGGCGTCCGCGTCCATCACCATCTCCTCGTAGTGGACGACGCCGCAGTGGTTGCTCATCTTGGCCAGGCACTCGGCCTCCACCTGGACGCGCTTCATGGTCACCGAGCAGCTCTTGCTGCTGGCGTCAATGCGCGTCGACTTGCACGCGAATCGCTTGCCATCGCTCTTGCGCACCAGGATGGAGACGCTGCTGTGCTCGCCCGCCCCAATCACCGACCCGGGGCTATACTTCGCCCACAGCTTGCTGCCGCCTGCCATGGGATCTCTCGGAACATCAAACACTCCTCCGCCTATGAACTCTGATCAATCCAATGCGGTCCAATCCCAGAGGGGCCCAAGACGAAAAAGGAGGAACGGATGATGGATCAAGAATCACACTCTCTCCTACAAATCCAGCCAAGAGCCCACAGATGCCCACAGATGCTTGCTTGTTGCTGCTCCAACCGCAGCTGTTGTTGCTTGACTCCTCCGCCGCCGCCTCCTGACCCTCCGCCTTGCTTGTGCCGCTGCGACCATGGCGACGGCCCTTGGATCTTGGCCCCTTCTCCCTGTGCGATTCAAGCAGCGCTAGTGCGGCCAGCAGCGATCTCTATGCCTATCGTCGGGGGGAGGGGATTGGAACATCCAGCCGAGACCGAGAACGGGTCCTCCGATGGGTGGCGGGGGCAGCGGCGGCGGCGGCGGCTGTGGGCGGCTATCCATCCACTCGACGAGGCAAAAACTCTCACACACTCACCCGGGCTATGCGCAGGCCTCCTTTTAACAATAATGCCCAAGGACACCCTGTGCTAAGGACACCCTTCCTCAATAATATCACCCGAATATGCCGGCCATCTAGGGTTAGGGCTTTAGGAGATCCAATGAAGATCACTGTCATGACGTCGGACGAGCGCTTCGTGTCGCTGGACGTCGATGCCGATGAGCTGGTAACACTATCTCAAGCTCCGCCCTTCTGATTCGCGGGGCTTTGGCAGGTTGAAAACGTCAAGGCGCTACTGGAAGTGGAGGTAATTCTACCTAGATCCAAATCAATCCAGCGCAGCTGCGCAGGAAGAGCGAGTGATGCTAATGCCCCGCTCTGCTCTACAGACGCAAATTCCGCTCCACCAGCAGCAGCTATTGCACCACGGCAGGGAGCTCCCCAACTCTCACAAGCTCAATGCCGCGGGAATCGTGGACAATGACCTGCTCATGCTTGTGGCGGCGGCCCCTCCTCCAACAAGGTTCTTTCGCTTGAATCACAGAGAGAGAGAGAGAGAGAGAGAATGGAACCTTTGTTCTTATACTTTCGCAGCACCAGCGGCTCGGGAGGAGGCAATGAGATGGCTCTCAATGCCGATGGCTCCGCTGTAAACCCGTCGGCCTTCATGAGCCGCTTGAAGCGGGATCCACAGACCATGAAGTTCCTGTTTGAGGTTCGTGTGCTCCTCCTTCCAATGGTCCCGGCCTAAAAATGTCAGCTTGCAGAGAAACCCAGACATAGCGGGCGCGGTGCACTCAAACAACGTCTCGGCGCTCCAGGGCTTTCTCAGGCAGATCCACCAACAGAAGCTGGATCTTCAACGGCGTCAGCAAGAGGAGATTGTAAGATACCGTGGTGTCTTTGAAGGCTCTCATTCCCGCTGTCAGTGCAGGCACTGATGAATGCTGATCCGTTCGATTTAGATGCACAAAAGAGAATAGAAGAGAGTATACGTCAGGTACCTTCAATTCTGCTAGAAAGCTCATTCGTTTCTCTTTTCCTTAGAGAAACATAGACGAAAACTGGGAAGCAGCCGTGGAGCACAACCCCGAAGCATTTGCCAGTGTCGTAAGTGGTTTACCTTTTGGGTTTGGAGTCTGTCTAATCACACTCCTTTGTTGCAGATAATGCTTTACGTGGACATGGAAGTGAATGGCTTTCCCCTGAAAGTAAACTACACCAATTTCCTGGCCGTGGGACTGAACACTGGGAAATGTGTGCAGGCTTTTATTGACAGTGGAGCGCAAATGACCATAATCTCAAGGACTTGTGCAGAACGCTGTGGGTGAGATGGATTCATTTCTAGCCTACACAGGCGGCGTTCTAACTCGCAAACAGGCTGTTGAGACTCTTGGACAAGCGCTATGTAGGTGTTGCCAGGGGCGTGGGTCAAACGGAAATCGTGGGAAGGATTCATGTAGCTCCTCTCAAGGTTCGAAGTCTTTCTAGATCCAGATGAAGAAACGAAGTTGAGGTCCCTTTCTGATGGCAGATAGGAGATCATTTCTATCCTTGCTCGTTCACAGTTTTGGACCAGCCTAATCCTGAATTCATCTTTGGCCTTGACATGCTACGCAAGCACCAGGTTGAGAGTTCAATCTCGTAAAGGAAATGTGTTAAGTCTCACAACGCGTGCAGTGCTCCATTGATCTCAAGGATAACGTGCTTAGAGTTGGAGGCGGTGAGATTGCAGTACCATTTCTTCAAGGTTGGTTTTCTATTGCCTCGGTGCGACGAGTGTAACTTTTTTCTCTTTCATCTTTGCTTTTAAACGGCAGAGAAAGACATTCCGAGGCATTTCCATCAAGACGAAGTGAAACCATCAGCAAGCACAAGCGTGCTTCCGGCTCCAGCAGCGGCGGCTCCTCAGGCATCGTCCGATTTGGAAGCCAAAGCGTCGCGGTTGATGGCACTGGGCTTTGACCGCCCATCGGCGTTGGAAGCGCTGCGGCTATGTAATGGCAACGAAGAACAAGCAGCCAGTTATTTATTTGGCGGATAGTCTCATAAGCTGGGCTTTCCATTTCCTGTTTTTAGGGTTTAGGGGAAGAAGGAAAAAGAGTCGGTGATGGAAGGCGCGGGGGAGGATGTTCCCGACAATGCGAATGAGCGTACGTAATTTCGATTGCTCTCCAATCTCTGCTCATCGCTTTCGATTCGCAGACTGCCCGGGCACTGAATCGGAGGCGGCTGGAAAATCCGCGGCTTGTGCTGGATGCCCCAACCAGCAGGCGTGCGCCACCGGCCCCAAGGGCCCCGATCCAGGTAATCCATAGATAGATAGGTCAAGGACTGGCCTAATACTAACAAGCTGCTCCAGACCTTGTTGCGATCAGCCAGCGCATGAGCAGCGTCAAGCACGTAATCCTGGTGCTGTCGGGCAAAGGCGGCGTGGGCAAGAGCACGTTCGCGGCGCAGCTATCCTTCGCCCTGGCGGGGATGGACAAGCAAGTCGGGCTGCTGGACATCGACATATGCGGGCCGAGCATTCCAAAGATGCTGGGACTGGAGGGCCAGGAGATCCACCAGAGCAACCTGGGCTGGTCGCCGGTGTACGTGGAGGACAACCTGGGCGTCATGTCCATCGGCTTCATGCTCCCGGACCCCGACGAAGCCGTCATCTGGCGAGGCCCCAGGAAGAACGGCCTCATCAAGCAGTTCCTCAAGGACGTGTACTGGGCCGACTTGGACTTCCTCGTCGTGGACGCGCCCCCCGGGACGTCGGACGAGCACATCTCCATCGCCCAGTACCTCAAGGTGGCCAACGTTGCGGGGGCGATTGTGGTCACCACCCCACAGGAGGTGTCCATAATCGACGTGAGGAAGGAGATAAGCTTTTGCAAAAAGGTTGGCATCCCGGTGCTCGGGGTCGTGGAGAACATGAGCGGCTTGCAGCTCCCGGTCAGGGATCTCGTGTTTAGGAAGAGCAGCGACGACGGGCAAGAAGACGAGGACGTGACCCGGGAGGTGATGCTCAAGCTCGAGACGCTCGCCCCGGAGCTGCTGTCAACTCTGGCCTGCGCCCAGGTGTTTTACGTGAGTGGCGGTGGAGCGCAGGAGATGGCCAGGCAGATGCGGGTCCCGTTCTTGGGACGGGTACCTCTGGATCCACGGCTGAGCCGGGCGGCCGAGCAAGGGAAGTCGTGCTTCGAAGACTCTCCCTCTCCCAGCGGGCTTGCTCTCAAAGGGATCATCAAGCGGCTGCTCAAGGCTATCGGGTGATCGAGCATCCACAAATGCAGCAGGAGTAGCGCGTTGTAGATAGTGATCGACTACCAAGTCAGACTATGGCGTTAAATTCAATAAGCGTGTTGATGAAAGTGAGGTGGTCTCGTCCGGCTCCATGCCCAAGTCGGGGCACCTTTCTATTGATCTCGTTTATCTTCCACGTCAGCTGCTGCAACTGCCACAGGGGGTGTCATGGACAGCGAGAGGGAGCGGGAACGAAATCCTGATGGCTCTCGTTGAAAAAGAATAAAGAATTTTCTTGAATGCCCACTAGCTAGTCATCTCTAGACGAAGAAGGGTCATCACTAGCGCCGGTGACAAAGGCGGTGAGTTTGCGCTTCCACGGCGCGTTGTTCTGGTGCTTGAACCACGAGAGGAAGGCGCTGTCCAGCAGGCAGAAGAAATTCACGTAGAGCAGCTGGTGCTGGACAGGCACGAAGCGGAAATTCACCACCTGGACCACGGGCCACACCGCTCCTTCGGTCAGAAACGCGGGGATAAAGTCTCGTCCCAGCTCCTGCCTCACAACCTCCCACCTCTTGCCCGCCGCCAGCCCCGAATACGTGAAAAACGCCACAAGATGGATCGGCCCAAAGATGAGCGCGTCCGCCGCCAGCTTTGTCGCTAGGAATCTCAGCGATTTGGGCCTCAGTCGCAGCTTGTTGTGGACGAGATGCTCCAGCCCCTCATACCTGCACAAGGAAAAAGATGGGAAAGCCAATACAGCCATAGCCGAGCTCCAGACGAACCAGAAATGACCCACTGGACCGACGAATCCCACTCCGAACATGCTCGAAATTCCCACCCGCTTCCAATTCAATCCATCCTTGTCCTTGCCCGGCCCCGGCTCCACCTGTGGATCGATTGCGATAATTGTGAATGCCTGCTCTGTGTGTGTGTGTGTGTGAGAGAGAGAGAGAGAGAGAGAGAGAGAGAGAGAGACGCATTTACGCTGGGCAAACCATGGGGAAGCGGCGGAGGCGAGATGACCGATTTGTGCTGCCGCTTCTCCACGCTGGCGCTCACGCTCTGCGCCACCATGTCGCCCACAGCCCACAAGATGCCCGACGTTACGATCTGGGTGCGCACGGGCTTGGCCGCCAGTTGACCCTGGTACCACGACCACGCACTCCTCATCTTGATGGCGCCCATCTTCTCCCCCTGGCGCCCTAGAAAACCATCACGCAAACAGAACAGAGCACCCTAATTCCCCCGTGTTTTAAAGCAGTCGATCGATCAATTCCAGAGAAACAAGATCTCGAGTGAGGTATTGGCCTGCTGGACGGCGAAGCGTTGCGCGGGCACTAGAGCTCGTCGCCGGCCAGCAGGCCAACACCTGCCTCAAAATCTTATGGGACAAGGAGGAGAATTCACACGCCAATTCCTTGACAAGAATTCAGCTCGCAAGGGGCGAGAAAGAGGCGAGAAGAAAAAAACGAGCAATCTGTGGCAAGAATGTGGAGTGGAGCCCTAAAAAAGGCCCCTCTATGCCGTGCCCCATGCTCCATCACACATTGGATCAAACAAAATATCGGCAAGAGTAAGAGTTTGTTGCTCTTTGGTGGTTTCATAATTCACTGCGTGCCCACAAGCAATCATTCGCTTTATATTCCAAACCAAGCTCATAAACTTGGCCCAATTCAACCTGACTGACGGCGGGAGAGAGAATATTTCCGGGCCAGAGAATATACCGGCAAATGATGCCCGTCAGGGAATCATTAGATTCCCTGCCCACTGTTTGCAGGGGCCTGATCTCCCGCTGGAACTCAAAACAAACAAACAGCCCTTGCGTTGCGTCGCTGTGTCATCAACTTTAAAGAAAGGAATCGCGCTGCCATCATTCTCGAAAGCCAGCGGCAGCACCAAATTTCTTATTCTTTGTTTTTTTTCCAACCTTCTCCTCCTCCTCTCTTTCTTTCCTTGTCAAGTGGATGTACCCGCTGAGAGAGACAACGCACTGTGAAACAAGGGTATCACGAAAAGCTTGCCTTGTTTGATTGATCTTCCTTTTCGCTCGCACCGCATTTCTGGCTTGGCGTCGTGCTAAGGGAAGAACGAGACGCGGTCAACGTAGCGTGCTGGTTACAATGACCCTCCCTGTTCATCATGAGTCATGAGACTGAGTGCGCCCTGGCATTTAACAGCAACCATTTAAATCTCCCCCGGGTTTATAAAACTCTTACACAATTCCTGGGAGGGTTCAGCAACAGCAACAGCCAGCAGCAACAGAGAGCTGTAAGGGAATATGGAATCATGGATTAAACAAAGACAAGCTGTCTTGACTTGCCAGCAGACTAAACAGGGCTGGTCGGGATCGGAACCGGAAAAGAAAATAGACCCCATCTGTTTTGTGATGGATGCAAAAATCCAAATACATTGGTGCACGCTCTGATGTAATATGGCCAGCAGTAGCTTTCGTTAAGTCGTCCTGCATGGCGTCGGGCCTCTCTCACTGACTCTGTCTCAGACTCAGATCAAGTAAATGTAACCAAAACTCAGAGGACTCGACAACCAAGAAAGAATGCCCTCTCCCTCACCTGCATGTGAATGCAAAGCCAGTTGGTGCAAACTTTATCTCAGCTCGGCATCTTGCCTCTTTTCCCCTTTCTGCTAGTCACATCATCATTCCCAAAAGAAAAGTCGATCTTGATTCAAACTCGACTTCCAAACTCGTTTACCCTAAACCGAGAGTTAACTTTGATTCGATGTCACCTTGACAAAATTGAGTAGGGCGTTAAGCCCGGGTGAGGCTCACCACAAGTGGTCAAGCCTCTCACCTCTGTATTGACCTCGAGTCGAATCACTCCGGTTCACTCCAAGATCCACCCTCAGTCCCCCTAAAACCCCTAATCACCCGCCCGTACTTGCCAAGAAGTCCTCCCTGATGCGCCTGTTGACCCCCCTTCCAACTACCCGGTTCCCTGCCACATCAACACCTGTGTGTCTTGCCTCACTTTGCAATACATAATCAGTATTGGCCGCTACAGCTGCAGCGGTTCTCCCTTCTGTTGAAGCAAAGGTGCCTTTAGTTGGTGTTCTCCTCATGCAGTCGGATTGAAGTTGAGTGTTGTATGTCACATTTCTGAGGCTAACACCTCCCTTACCTGTTTTGGCTTCGAGACATACACCCAATGGCCTTTCTCATCTTGGCCACCTTGACCATTCTCATCTTGGTCAATGATATTCTGCCATGACCTTTCTGATCTTGGTCACTGGCATTCTGTCCTGACCTTTCTCATATTGGTCAGTGACATGCTGACTGTTCTCATATTGGTGAGTACACATGGGAATCTCATATTTTTTATTGTGTATAGTATATACCATCTTTGTACAACATAATTATGTTTAATTTTAATAATATAGTATCAAATCAATCAAATACTCTTTTGTTCTATAGAACGAAACAAAGAGAACTTGATTGATTCAATACTACATTATTAAAATTAAACATAATTTTAAGATGGTATACAGTAGACACAATAAAAAATATACTATAAGGTTAAAAGTAAATAAATTAATGATTATAGAAAATGATATATTTCATAACTTAAAATAGAAGAGTTGAATAGTTCTAACTATTTTATCTTGTAAATTAGTTATACTTTTATCAATAATATTATGATACTTATTACACATACATCAATGAATCTAATCTCATTGAGTTGTTGGTTAGCTCAAATATAGTCTAAGATTTGTGCAATATTATAAAGTTATAATACTGTTTTTAAGATTAATAATTTGTGTATTGAGACATGGAAAACAGACAACATTAGACACAATACAAAAGGCTACCATCTAAAAAAATGTGATTCATCATCACAAAAGCTTTTATTATGGTTTGAGAAAAAAAAAAGATTATGTATCATCAATACCCAAATACCAGAGTAAAACCTTACCTTTCATTAAAATATTTTAGCCTCAATAATATTTTTATGAAGCTTGCAAAGATCTCGTCATGTTGGAGAGGGGGAGAGAGAGAGAGAGAGAGTGCTACACCTTGCAGCTCATAATTTACCCGATCCCCCTAAAGAACATCAATTGATTTGGAGTGTCATTAAAATCTGTTTCCACACTTTTGGCATGCTCTTTATTTGAAGTTTTTAAATTTTATCAAAAGTATATTCCTAGATAATATTCTAAAAAAGGAATATGTGATGCTTAGGTGAATTGTAATTGTAATTTTTAATATAATCATAATTATATAAAATAACATAACATTATATCACATTTAAAACTCTGATTGTTGAGTGAAGTTTTGGATCTTCTATAAATGGACTCATTCACATGGCCAAATGAGTCATTTAGAAATAAAGGTTTGGTAACAAATTTTTTCTTTTATTTGAAATCTCTATATAATTGATAAAAAAATATTATTACTCGATGATTCATTCAACTCTATAATTTTCCCTCAAGTAAGTGTTACTTAAGTACACTAAAATATAATTATGTCAAAAAATATAGATTTAAAACTCACTTAAACTATACATCTTGTAAATTTAAAAACATAAACATTGTTATGGAGTTTAAGTTCTTATCTTTTCAAACAGAAAGTTTTGGAATTGCATGATACTAAGTGAACGAAATTACCTTTATGTGTTATATTTTATTCTAAGAACTTTAAATATTTGCATATTTATCTTAGATATTCCCTTTGTGCCTAAAATTTATATTCATGTATTTTGAGAGTAATTTTAAAAATTATAAGTATTCTATTATATATCATAAACATTATTTCTGTATATGTTTTTATATAGAGAGAATTCTAATCTGAAATAACATTAATGTTTTCTATATTCATGTACTTATATTTAAAATTAAGGCTTTATATCAATGTTATGAATGCTGAAATTTTATAATGATAAATGAATGGTAAGGTTTTACTCTTTATTGGGCTAGAGTAGGGTTTAAGGATATATAATATTTTTCTTTATGCTAGAAATATAATATATCTGAAAATTCACGAAATGTATAAATTTAAATTTCAATTGATGATAAATCAAATTTCTTTATATGATCCATGTACTCATGTTGTCTTGATCATATTTATAAATTATTGTGTTTTTCATGTATAAATGCAATGTAAGATAAAGTGTTAGAAAATTTATGATATTACATAAATCTTAGACTATATCTTAGCCAATTGACAACTCAATGTGCTTAATTTCATAAATTATTGTATTAATAATTAATATAGAATTAATGATAAAAACAAAAATATTTTACATAAGAAATAGCTACAACTATTTAGTCCTCTAGTTTAAGCTAGAATATATAATATTTTTTAGATACTATTTTCTTTCTATTCTACATTAAAATAATTTTATGTCTTTTTGCATTATATTTAGTATTTTTAAAATTTAATTTTAATAAATTCTTTGTAAGTATATTGTATCTTTTTATATTTTTATAATTTATTTTATCTTTTTGCATATTTGTATTCGACATCCTCTCCCTTCATAATATTTATATTCATACTTCTTAAGAGTACTATTTAAAAGTTAAAGTATTGTATTATATATCATTAACATGCTTTCTGGATATCTTTTTAATCTAGCTAATATGAATTAAGAATATTATCTCTATGTTTTATTTATTTTTATTTAAATTTACAGCATGTAGGCTTCTGAGAACACCATTTTCTGAACATTTCTGAATGGCAAACTGGATGCTGCAAGCGTATCCATGGCAGGAGCTATTGCTATAGAAGTTGGGATGAGACCACTGAACCATTAGAACCAGCAACAGATCAAGCATTAACTGAAAGTGCAGTTACTCTTGAGCAAAGACACAAGCTTGAGCGTCAGGTAATCTCTATCCTTGATTCATTGTAAATTAGCACCAGTGCTATCAATTTCTTCTGTAACTTTTCCACCTTATACACCATGAAGAACTGGGCATTCTATTACAAGCTTTTTACACTATGCAGAAAGGAATCAACCAGAAGCCTCGCAAGGGTATTGATTTCCTTGCAAACCCCAAGAAAGTGGAGAAAGTTCGTAAAGAAGTTCCCAAATTCCTTTTGAGTACCACAGGTCTCAACAAAGGCATGACCGGGGATTACCTTGGTGAAAAAGAGGAGTTTTCATTAAAAGTCATGCATCCCTATGTTGACTCCTTCAAGTTTCATAATATGGAGTTTGACGAGTCGATATGAACATATTCAGGCTCCCTAGAGAGGCTCAGAAAATGGACTGACAGGATAATGGAAACATTTGCAGAGCAATATTGCATCTGTAATTCACGAGTGCTTATGTTCTGGCATATTCTTTAATTATGCTTAACACTAATGCGCACAACGTGATGGTGAAAGTAAGGTGAGGAAATGCTTCCACTGTCATTCCAAGATCTCTCATTTGCTATTACAGATGTCTAAAGCTTCAATTATATAAAATAATAGTGGCATTGACGATGGAAGGATCTTCCTGAAGAGTTTATGGGAGGACTATA